GAAAACCCCCTTCACCAACCTAAATGGGACGCATATGAATTGCATGTCGAAAAACGGAGTAGCCCATGTTATTTAACGTAAAAAGTTATGTAAGACCCATACATTTTTTTCTATTTATTTGCGACCGTTTTGTCAATAACAGAAAAAAAAACAGTTTTGTTTGAGCCCTTTTAAGGGCATATAACTTCCTAAGGGTGCGTTTTAGGGCACATGTTAATAGGAACTTTTTGGCTTATTTTAATGAGATATAAACGCAGCAGAAGTTTGGAACTCTATTTTAGAAATACCCTGTATAAGTAGCACCATCTATTTATGTCCTTAGAATTGCCTATCAATTTTTCTCAACTTGGATGTACCTATTTCATTTTTTAAACGTCTAACGTACAACTGCAGCTACAGTTTTAACAGATGAGAATGAGCCTTTAAACACAATTTACAAACCGTCAGTAGAGTGGCTACAGAAACAATACACTTTAAAATATTATCCAACATTAATGTCACATAAAAGTCAATGCCACATAATATGTACAAAGCCATGCAATATCTAATATTTAGGTTTTACAATAAAAATTTTTTTCGCGCAATCAGCAACCGAACGATAATAATAATAATAATAATAAGAACAACAACAACAACAACAACAAATATATCAAAATGAGAGTCGATATCCAACAGAGTTAGTTCAGTATAACCACCCTAAATAATACAAATATAATTCCAAAAGAAAAAAACAATATAAAAAATATAAATTAGAAATAACTATGTAAGACCTCGACTAAGTACAAGAAATTCTTTGATCCTTTTTCTGAATATAGCAATGTTATATATAAGATAATTTGATGTCCACTGGTATCGAATTAAATACATTTGTAGAGTTGTAGATAAAGCTGCGATGGAATAAAGTTAGTCTGTGCTTGGGTATATTTCACGATATCTAGTGATATAGTCATGTACCTATATCAGAATTTTTTATAATTTTGTCATATAAGTATTGTGGCTGTTTAATAGCTAAAACTTTATGTATGTAGGTACAAGACAGGCTAGGTGAATTACAAAACGTTCAGATTAAACCATTTAGAGTCATACAAAACTGCAGATATATGTTCATATTTTCTAATGTTATATCAAAACCTAAGGCAAGCATTTTGGATTTTTTCTAAAGAATATTTATCTCTTTCTAACAATGCAGGCCAGTAAACGATATCGCAATATGTTACTCGAGAAAGAATTATTGAGTTACACAATCGTAACTTAACATAAGTAGATAAAATATCTTTATAAAAAAGTTTTAATTTACCAAAAGACGTTTTTACCAAATTATACACATGAGAATTAAATATGAGATTTACATCCAATTCTAAACCAACATTGTTACAAGTTACTGGTTGTAACGTTATATTATTTAATACAACATTAAAAAATTGATTTGAAAGAATAGGATTACTGTAGGTAACTACCAAACACTTTGTCTTACTTTCATTAATAATTAATCCATGAGCTTTAGAATATCTACTGATAGCAGCAAAATCTGAATTAATATTTTCAACAGCCTTATCCAGGTCACGATAATCAAAAGAATAATAGATTTGAGTGTCATCAGCATATTACTAGACAAATCTGAAGTATATACACTGGATGTCCTGATGAGTCGCCAATTCGTACAAGACGAAGGTGGCCGTGGTGGAGCTGTATATAGAAAAATGCAAGAGACCTAAAATACTACCTTGAGGTACACCTTTACTTAAGCAAATATACTCTGTAAACGTGTTATTTAAAAGAACTTTTTGATGTATATTAATTAAATAATTTTTAAAAAATTTTAAAGACAAATTATACTAACACCAAAGTAATTAAGTTTAATACTAAGAGTAGCATGGTCTAGGACAGGGGTCGGCAAGTAATTTTAGGTGGGGTCCGGATACTTTTGAAAATTTTTAACGAGGTCCAGAAAAAAATTCATATTTCTTATTTTTATTTTTAATTGGACTCAAATTTAATCTGCTTACCATTAAGAACTCAAAACACACACAATTGTAAAATACTAGAAAAAATGATAAAATTGGCACTTAAACGTAAAAAACATTTTTTAAATAATTTATTTGAGTAATTTATAACTAATTTTTGGCGGTCCAGTATTTTACCTTCCGCGGTCCGGACCTGGACCGCGGTCCGCCAGTTGCCGACCCTTGGTCTAGGATCTAGGTTTAGGGTATCGAATGCTCGGCTATAATCTAATAAAATTAAGTACCTGTCTCTACCTTTATCGCAGGCACTAAAAATATCATCCATAACACTAAGCAACGCTGTGGAGGTACTTACTATAAGATTTACGAAAACCCGACTGAGTCGAAGAAATAATTTTATTTTTCATTAAATATTTATTAAACTGCTCCTTAACAACTTTTTCTAATATTTTAGACATAACTGATAATATTCTTATAGGCCTAAAATGATTGATAATAGTAGGATTAGAATATTTGGGAACAGATATCACATTGCCTTTTACCAAGAATTCGGAACCACACCAGTAATTAAACACTTTTTAATAATAAAAGTAATATGATCACTTAAATGAGGTAAAAGATAAAGTAACATCTTCACAGTTAAGCCATCAGGACCAACAGCATTTGATTTAATACGAAAAATATTTTTTCTATCGATAAATTAGATAGGTACAGGAGAGAAAATAAATCCATCATTCATATTGTGCTATCTATTATTAAAGTAACAGGATTTAATAAAATAACAACAGTTAGCGATATAATTATATACCAACGTATTGTTATGAGCCAAAGGCTTGTTAAATGTGTAATATTTGAATACGATTGAGGAGTGTCCAGCAAATGTTCAAATACCTATCTTAAAGTTTTCCAAAAATATTTTGAGTCTGTCTTAAAAACGTGATTTAAGTATGCCCTTTTCTCAGACTTAACCGCCATATTAACAAGGTTGCGAAATCGTTTATAGTCTTCCCACGATGCCTCAGTTTTTAATTTACGATATTTGGAATGAGCTTTATTTCTTAAGTTTCATCATGAATTTAAAATTATTGACAGCCACTACGCAGGAAGTTTACTTATTTTAACTATTCTAAGAGGGGCATGGAAATCGAACAAAAACAAAACATTATTATTAACAACAGAAACCATATCATTCACATCTTCAAGATAATAAATATAATCCCAGAAAATGTTATGGAAATCATAATTAAATTGTTTAATTAACCATGTCTATGTCCATGTTTTAAAGCGAATTTGCGGCTTAGGTTAACAAAACTGTGATCTAATACACCATCTATATTAGCTTTGTTCCTAGTAGAATCCAAAACAGTTTTCAACAGTCAGAGGCATGCGCATATGGATATAATGCTTACATAAGGTTCAAAATTCATTGTTTTGAATCAAATGCGATTGCGTCGGACTGTTGGAAACTAATTCTAATGCACTTGGAACAAAGCTATTATTTAATACTCGAACATCAGTAACAATGTTTAGACATTATCAATAAGAGTTGATGAATGTTCTGTAATTCTCGTGGAATCAGTTATTACTTACATATTTATCTAAAATGTTCTTGAATAATATGTAATAATAATATAATATAGTATTTAAAAAGTCAACATTAAAATATATTTAGCGGATTCTAGAGCAAAGTATGATCCATGTAGAAATCAAGTTTTTTGGCAATATTTTTTTGAAAAATAAATAACTCTTTAAAAACTATTCTTTTTTTTCATAGAATTCTTCATTCTATTTGAAATGAGAATTTCTTATTTTTTTTAAGATCTACATCGCGTATATCGAAAACCAAGGGCTTTTAGATTAAGGCTTTTTCATCTAAAATGATCCGAGAAACATTCCTAAAGTTGGAATATCCTGTATAAATAATTTTGCTACACAGTAACAATAATTTTAAAAAGAAGAAACGTTTCCTTTCAAAGTAGGTACATTTATTTATAATTATTAATAGTAATTACCCTTTGTTTACCTTTATTCCAACACGGTTACGAAGAAGAGAAGAAACCATCATCCTATCGTCTTTCTCCTGATGGTTTTCTGATTTAACTTCGATAACTTCAAAATCTACAGGAACGTAAGCAGCTTTAAAAATATCTTTAACGTATTCCATTAATCGAGGACCAGAACCAACACCTACACCGTATCATTTAAAAACTGAATCTTTTTAAGTCCCTAATATTTTTACGAAATGGGTATTATTGCTTGCCTGGTAACATGGTTACTAAATGCCTTCCTCCATATGTTGAAGGTGATAATACTTCCTCTTTGACTACTTTTACAGTAGCTGTTGAATATTTGCGCAAGTAGCTATAAATAATTTTAATGTTTATTACTTTTTGAATCATTATATTAAAATTGTTAATAAAACTGACAATTAACAACTGTCGTTTTTATACGTTTTCACGTTATAATCGAGTAAGTCAAAACAATTTTACAAGTCGATTTGATTGAGCGTTACGTTAATATTTTTACGTAAAATTCAATGAATTGACAATTTCCCAAAAATTATAAATATTTTAAACGGTATTTCTAGATATTCTAATAAAATCAAACGAATTAGGTATAAATTGTGTATTTTCTTCGTTATTTTATGAGGTAGGTAACAATGCAGCTAAATAAGTGCAAAGAAAACTAGACCAGGCGGTATCTGTTTTGTTTGGGTGAATCGTATATCTACGGAGATTTTTGGCTTTTTGGCTTTCAAATATCACTAGAAATGAAAATTTTTCTATGTGCATAAAAAAAAACGTGGGCTTAACTTTTGGCGGCACAATATGTTAAAAAAATTCGAAAAATGTCATATTTTTCTTCCTATTTAATTATGTATCTTTTCAAGAGTTGATTTTAGGCGAAAATGGAAGAGGAAAAAAATGTTTGTAATTAAATTTTTTACAATACATGACTGGTTACAAATCGAATGAATCATGATTATTATGGTAAAAATCGAAAAAATCACAAAAATGGGGTTAAAAAACAATACTTTTTAGGGAATTTTTTTGGTGTATTTAAATTGGGTGTAGGACCTTTATACTTGGCTCAAGAAAACTTCATGTTATGTAGAATCATCACACCAAATTTCATCAAAATCGGTTCGATAGATTTTGCATAATAATTTTGCAATCCAGATTTTGAAAAAAAAATTGCAAATTTTCAAAATTTTGCACAGCAAAAACCAAGGCCCTTAGATACTTGAAAATTTAATCACATATAGAAGGGCTCTCAAGCTTTCAAACTTTTTTTGAAAAATTCGAATCCGTCAATTAGGAGAGCTCTGGCGCTTGTTTAAACATTGGTCGAATTTTTGTACTTATAAACAATTAGAACTTTGTGAATATTCAATCAAATCAAATTTTTTAAAGCAGGTTTTAAAAGTTCTTGGAAAGACGCTTCTTTAAAAAAAAACAGATCGATTGATCAATTAGTTACGTAGTTATAGCCGTCATTTACACTAAATGTACTGGGACATCCGGGCTAATTTTTCGAAAAATACCTTTGGTATTCCGAGTACTTACCAGGTCTAAGATTACAATACTTTTCTTCATTGGCAACCTACTTTAAAACGTGTTTAAAGTTATTTATGCAAGCGAGAAATTCAATAAAATCGTACGGGTGGTGGTGGTGGGGGAAGCAGAGAGCGCGGCCGCTTCGGCCTGCTCGAAATTGAATCGTCTATAACTACGTAACTAATTGATCAATCGATCTGTTTTTTTTTAAAGAAGCGTCTTTCCAAGAACTTTTAAAACCTGCTTTAAAAAATTTGATTTGATTGATTATTCACAAAGTTCTAATTGTTTATAAGTACAAAAATTCGACCAATGTTTCAACAAGCACCAGAGCTCTCCTAATTGACGGATTCGAATTTTTCTAAAAAAGTTTGGAAGCCTGAGAGCCCTTCTATATGTGATTAAATTTTCAAGTATCTAAGGGCCTTGGTTTTTGCTGTGGAAAATTTTGAAAATTTGCAATTTTTTTTTAATCTGGATGCAAAATTATTATGCAAAATCTATCGAACCGATTTTGATGAAATTTGGTGTGATGATTCTATATAACATATAGTTTTCTTGATAAAGGTCCTACACCCAATTTAAATACACCAAAAAAATTCCCTAAAAAGTATTGTTTTTTAACTCCATTTTTGTGATTTTTTCGATTTTTACCATAATAATCACGATTCATTCAATTTGTAACCAGTTATGTGTTGTAAAAAATTTAATTAGAAACATTTTTTTCCTCTTCCATTTTCGCCTAAAATCAATTCTTAAAAAGATACATTATTAAATAGGAAAAAAAATATGACATTTTTCCAATTTTTTTAACATATTGTACCGTCAAAAGTTAAGCCCACGTTTTTTTTTATGCGCATAGAAAAATTTTCATTTCTAGTGATATTTGAAAGCCAAAAAGCCAAAAATCTCCGTGGATATACGATTCACCCAAATATGGCTTTTTGAAACAGATACCGTCTGGACTAAACTGTTATAAAGGAATTTTTAACTTTCTAATGCCTAATTTACTGAAACCTATGTTTCTGTTTTCATGAATATGTCAGTTCATCGTCTGTGATGAGATATTCTACTTGCGCTAGGGTATGTTTTTGTCTCTCGGTTTCATTTTTTATCCATTTAGCATGTTCATTATAATGTCCCATTATAATAACTTTATACCTAAGTATTTTGAGTTGCATAACGATCCGGAAAGTGAAAGAAATCAACAAAACTTGTCCTCTTCGCGCCTAGTTCACCCCTCATAGGCGCCGTTTAATTTACAAAAACTACGAGATAAAAAGGTGTCCTAAACAAAGTAGGGTTCTTTAAATTTTAAAATTGCTTGTCCCGTCTTTTTTATCATATTACCCAATTCCCTCTCTTTAGTGTGGATAATAATATTTCCATTACTGGATTGGTACCCGGGAATTATAGGTAATTATTTTATTTTCTGTTGATATATTTATTATTTCCCTCCAAGATTTTTTTTAAACTAGATTTGAGACTTTCGGAAAAAACAGTCAGATTTCTTGCTTTCAAGTGTGCACGACTAAGTGCTCTTTAGTGAAAATTGGAATCCTTAGTTTGGGATTTAAAGTGCTTTTGGTCAAAAATTTGTACCTTTATTGGAGTTATTTGTTATTAAAAGTATAGCCTTTTGGGGATTTTGTATAGTCAGCACCACTTGTCCAGCACCTGGAAGATAATTTTCCAGGGTAGAGGTTTTCCTTCTATAGCCATCTATGCCGTTTTATCATCTTCTGATGATCAGAAAACTCTCTACGAAAGAGGTATAATAATTTTTAACCTTTTATTCATGTGCTTGGACATTAGTTAATGCCTTTTTGTGGCTCTAGGATTTTTTTGTAGGACTAATTTTTCCCCACCAAGGTTATTCCTACTATATGTGTTAGAACAGGATTATGTAACCTCCCTTGAGGGCCTAAGATCAAACCAACCTTTGGCAGTTTTAGTGGGCCGGTTCCACCCGCTGTCTTCCGCCACGCGGGAGAATACTTACCTTTCACCACTCAACTTGGATTCCATCTAGCCTTTCTACTACTAGATAAATTCCTACCAGAGACCTGGGTCGCCCAACATTTGCCGCATGCGTGTGGTCCCCGATAAATGGTAATGAGAACAGAGCAAAGAAAATCTATGTAACTCAAGACCATGATATCATACACAAACTGTACGAGACTTTGCCACCAAGCCACCCCTCTAGTAAATAGGATGGTTTGAAGAAAAGTACTCGAGTAATGAAGGAAAAGAGGGTGTACAAGGGGCCTAATAAGGCCTAAGTGCCGCGGTGGAAAAACAATTCCACCACCTTCCGACATACATACATACTAGATAAATTCCTCTGGAATCTACGTTCTGGATTTTTGCTAGATAAGTGGACGTCAATTTACCGTTATTATTATTATTTTCCTTTTTATTAAGTGGTAGGTACTTATCAACCACACCATATTCAATACTAATACTAGTACCCTTTTGAGGTATTATCTAGGTACCACTCCTAGTTGTGAGGAATACAATAAACTTTAGTCTTAATAATTCTCTTTACGTATTGTGTAAGTTAAGCAAATTTATTTATTTTCTTCCCATAATTACTAAACTAAAATAAATAGCTAACTAAAATTAAATTAAATAATATCTCGTACCAACAATCTGTTACCCAATGTAAACCAGAACGTGGATATCCATTGATTGATATAATCATAATATGTTCATTAATATTATGTTGCTAATGTTTGTAATTTAAGGAGAAACGCTACCTTTATTTCAAGATTATTGTCGTAGATAATAGCTATTTAAATATTTCTGTAATATATTGTTTTGTCACAAATAAGATGTGTATGAATATTTCCTTCCACACTGATTTTTAAGAGAACAAATCAGAAAGAATAGGAAAAAAATTGTTCCTAATTAGTTAGTTTTAAAATCTGAAAAAGGCACCGATGCCTCCTTGTTTTGTATATTTATATTTTAGTTTTTTATTTACTTATTTAATTGAATTAGAAATACCCTGGTAGCACAATCGTGTGCAATTCTAATACAAAGTGTTTCAAGTTTACTTGAAATAGCCAAATTGTGTCGGATTGTTTTATGTCTATTGCTGAAATTTATATCGTTTCTTATGCAAGGTACTTTTACAATACTTGCACCAGACTTAACCAACAGTACTTGAGTCCAAAGAGGTGAATTAGTATAAGTCAAGTACAATATGTCTTACTTAATTGTTTTTTGGAACGACTGATGCCTTTTTTGGATAAATTTAATATTTTAACCAAGAACCAACACGGGTTTCGTAGTGGTATGTCTACAGGCACAGCAATCCATGCTTTTTTGGAAAAGGTTTATAATTTCATAGAGCCAGGTGAATGTCCGGTCGGTATCTTCTGCGATCTAAGTAAGGCATTCGATTGTGTCGACCATCAGAGGCTGATATATAAGCTTTCTTCTTGTGGTATCAGAGGCTTGCCTCTTAATTGGTTGCAAACTTTCATGGAGAACCGAACTCAATATGTCTCAGTAGAAAATATTTGTTCGGTGCAGTATCCTGTAAAGATGGGTGTACCGCAAGTCTCGATTCTAGGACCGGTGCTGTTTTTAATATATGTCAATGATTTACATGCTATCTCACCAAGCACAAATTTTACCATGTATGCGGATGACACATCTTTAATTACATCGAACACAAACGATAAGGATTTGGAGACAAATTGTAATATCTTATTAAAAGATCTAACAAAATGGTTCTCCGAGAATAATTTGTATTTTTAAACCAATATTACAAGATTTCATAGCTCGCAGAAATATTGTGATATGTTGTTTTTGGGAAATTCTACATATTTTTATACAAGTTTTTATAGCAGAGAGATAGATAATAAGAGATTATTAAGATATATGGTAGGAGTTCCCAGTCATTATTCGTGTAAAGATATTTTTAAAAATTTTAAAATTTTACCTTTACCATGTTTGTTCATATTTGAGACCTGCTTATATGTTTTCAAAAATAAAAGTAAATTTGTTTTAAATGATGCACTCCTCAAACATAATACGAGACAAAATATGAATTTACATGTTCCATTTGCTAGAATAAGAATAACGTCCAACTCTCCCGACTGTTTAGGTCCTAGGCTATTTAATAAGTTACCTAACCAATTAAAATTGCTGAAAAGTGAATATTTGTTTAAGAAAGCTTTAAAGCAGCTTTTAATGGAAAAATGTTTTTATTCCATATTGGAATTTTTACCTACTTTGTCTTAGTTTGTAAGTTTTATTTGACTATTCCTATACATATTATGTCTCTGAGGAAAATAAATTATTATTATTATTATTATTATTATTAAATGGTGCTCAATGCCTACTAACACAAAGTATTGCTTTGTACCTACTGGGAAACAGTGACAGGTATAAAGTAATGCATTGGGCATTCAGTAACACTAACAGTAACAAATTAATTTTAACAATATTCTTGTGAATATGATCGGGGGTCTGTAGTTGTGCGGAAATGGTTAATTAAACTGAATGTTTTGGAATACCAGCCCCCTGTGATAAGTTTGATATAGGAGAGGTGTTTTTCTTACTAGTCCAATCAAATTAGATTTTTATGTGCCAGAATTTAGTTCAGTAAACAAAGACACGTAAAAATTAGGAAAAAATCTGTAGAATTGAAGGAACTACTTTATCCCAACTGAATGTTATGGTTTCATTTTCAATATGGTCCAAAGTTCGCAAAAAACAATTTTTTTTCATTTAAAAAACATTTTAGAAAAAAATATTTCAGACAAAATAAATTTTCATAACAAAAATTTCGAGCCCAGCCCAATGTCAATTGTGTAACAAATGTATTAGTTATTGCAAAAAAAACGGCAAAAAATCGCATTTTTTTAAAAACTACATCTTTAAAACAAAATAAGATTTTTTTACGAAACTTTCAAAATATGTAGTCCTTTGCAAGTAGAATAAGTGCATTTTTATAAAATTGCAAAATATTCTTATATTTTTTGCAAAAATTGAGTTTTTCGAAAAAAAGACATTTTTTTCAAATTTCAATGTGTTACACAGTAATGCCTTACGTGACCCATATATCTTGGGCTTAAAAATTTCTCTAAACGTTGTATTTTCCTGTGCAAATTGTGCGTGTATTGCAAAATGATTGGAAATATGCAAAAAGTCTACCGAAACTTTTACTTCTTCTTTTGGGTCAAAATATACAGGCTGTTACAAATTCGCTTCTCACTACAGGGATCTCGGAAACGGTAAGTGGTACAAAGTAGCTTAAATGGGGGCAAAGTTGCGTAATCAGGGGACCAACATTNGCTTCGATCACGATACATTATTAGATATGTTTAACTTCCAAGCTTTAGAAACCCGCAGGCGTTGTCAGTCGGTAAAATTCCTTTATAATCTTATTCATAATAAAATCGATTGCCCAGATTTGCTAGAGCAACTAAGTTTTCTAGTACCACGCGCTGAGATGAGGAATCATGCAACTTTTTATTTGCCAAGGGCTTGCACAAACTTATTGTTAAAGTCCCCAGTTTATTTTATGTGCAAGACATTTAATTCTATCTGTAACACTTGCGATATAAACGATTGCTCGGTCAAAATGTTATGTATGAGTATAGTAAACCATGATCGTAATTGATGCCTCTCTTGCTTTAAGTTACATGTCTTAGGTTAAGTATATTCATTTAACTCCTACACTTTACCGAACTATTGTATTTTTCTTCTTTTTTTTTGTTTTTTGTTCTTTTGATGTTATTGAGTTTTTTATATTTATATTATGTACTATTTCAATGTAATTTAGCTCTATAAATGGAATTACTTCTGTTGGGCTAATAAATTATTATTATTATTATTATTATTATTATTTCTAATGGAAGTCTGCAACATAGTCACTTGCTTTAATTTACCCCTTTGTACTCAAGTGCCCTGAATCAAATCCATTGAAAGCTTTGATAGACAATTGCACAATGAATCTTGCAGTAAACCTGGTGCTGATTTCAGCAATAGGTACACATAGTGCAGCGATTTGAAGTCTATTGTGTCGTTTTTTTACGTAGAACCAGGTCAGGCATGGTAGGTTTTATTAAGCATGTGATTGGGCATATGAAATCATATTTTACGACATTTTTTGTTGGTCGGGATCTTTTTAATTTCGAAAAAATAAAAAAAAAATATTTTTATGAGAATATGTTTTTTAAGTCTCCACCGTTATATCTCAAAAAATAATTGTACTATCAGAGTAATTTTTTTTAATTAAAGACACAATAGCGCTTTTAACAGTACTAATAGATTTAATAAAACTCGCTTTTTCATTTCGCTAAAAATCAGGAAAACTTGATATTTAAATTTTGTGTAATACAATTTTCACCAATCGATAAACTTTTTTATTTATGATTGTGTTGCAAAATGTGAGTTTGGATTCCTGCAGCTTCAAGCAGCGACCGACCTTGGCGCCGTTTATCGTTGTTTGGGTTATGTTGGAATCCGCTGACTCGATTCGTGAACCGTCATCATGTCATGGGTTCCGACGGAACACGTTTGGGTAGTGAGTCTGATATTTCTATACTAAGTCAAACGTTTTTAGATGGCATTAATAAAATAGTCAATGCCGTAAAACCACAAAATGATTCCAGATTATTAGGTCTTACTATACATTCTAATATTATCAGTGAATTCAATCCAATTAATGATAATGTAGAGGAATGGCTTCGATCTATTAATGAGTACGCGGGCATGTATAATTGGCCCGATACTATAATTTGTCATTTGGCTTTAGGCAAGCTGAGAGGTCCGGCAGAAACTTGGTATAGGAGTTTGCCGACTCGTCTCTTTACTTGGCAAGAATGGCAAAGATTATTGACAGAACATTTTGAACCAAAGCGGGATTTGCATAATTTAATGTATTCAATGTTTGCTTGTACATATATCTCAACCCGGCCAAAGTTTGTATGAGTACGCTTATAACAAATTGTCCTTGATTAATAAAATGAATTTAACTATACCCGACGCCGACATAGTAAATTTGATTA